GCTGCGAGGGGGCCCGGGGTTTCTTGTCTCATGCTCCTGCGCTCCCGCCAGGTCGTTGCGCCATGGAGGCTGCCCGAGTTTTACCAGCGCTTCCCCGGGCGCCGCGAGCTGATGGACTACGCCAAGGTAGGAGCCGGCATGTGGTGGCCGTGGGGTGCTCGGGGTGGCGGTGGGATGCTCACCATGGTTTGGCGGGTGACAGCAGCAACCCTGCACAACATCCCTGCAGCACCACACTGGAACCTTCTGGCTGGGTTTTTTTTTTCTTTCCCCTCTATTTTTTTTTTTTCTTTCCTTCTAAAAACCCCGTAATTACCTGGCTATTAATTGTAACCCGCTTTCCAAGCAAACGGGTCCCAGCTCCCTGACTTGCCTAACAGACAAAGCAAATACGTTTGCCTTTGTTGTCCCTTCCTTTTTGAAGTACAAGTTGCAATAAAACATATTAGAAGTTTTGCATCAGGTTTTTACGTGCCCACCAGGGTACCTTTCTTTTTTAGCGACTTCATGGAAATGCTTGACAACTCGGCTCAATCAATCAAAAGGGAAAAGGCAGCTCTGTGCATAAACCAGAAAATTGCTTCAGTTTTTAAATAGCTGCCGTCGAAGCTGCCTGGGTAATCTCTGGGAAGGCGAGGTGCAAAGCCGGAGGGATGCAGAGCGGGGCGAGGAGCCCTCCGAGCCCATTAGGGCCGCCAAGAGCAGCGTGTTGAGGATTGTGTTTGCCATCTGCTGTTGTATTATGAAGGGGCGAGTTTACGAGAGCTTTCCATATGTTGCCAAACAAATTGTCAAATAGGGGAGTTATTAAGAGTGCCGCGGTTTTATTATATGGAAAATGGAACATGTGTTTTAGGTTTGGGGGTTTTGTTTGGGTGGGGTTTTTTTGTTTGGAAGGGGGGAAAAACGGGAAATGAAATGGATTGGGGCCCCATTCAAAGAGGAAAGGCTGGGGTTGAGGGTTTCTAGTGCCTCTCGGTCTCTGGTTATGTTCGGCATTAAAAAAAAGGGGGGTTCCCCTCTTTTTCACACGCAAGAGAGGGAGACGCGTGGATGCGCTTGGATGTTCTCGCCTTGGTGCTCAGGGAGTTATAACGCGATGATGTCTGGGGCTTGGTTGCTGCCGCGGAAAGTGGGGATCTGTGCCGCTGTGGCACAGCTCTTGCCATAGATCTGCTGCCTGGGTGCTGGAGCCAGCCTTGCTCCAGCAGCAAGCCGCTCCAGCAGCCGCTTCATCCCCGCAACCAGCCGAGCCTGAAACACCTTAATGAGCAAGGTGAAGCTCTCCTGGATGCTGCTCCAGGATGAACCCTTGCCTCGGGCAGAGCCAGGCAGGACGGAGCTCGTCAGAGTTGTGCCCTGAAAGCGAGATCTCTCCTTGGTTGCGACACATTTGGCCCCAGCTGAGGCTGCCTGGGCTCGGCCGTTGTTGGTACGCGGGTCTGGACTTGGAGGATCCCCTCTGAAGCAATAACGTGGGGTGAGGATGGGCTGGGGGACATGGGCTTCCCTGGCTGCCAGGAGGAGGCAGAGGGAGGAGAGGGCTGGCTGGGAAAATAAATCAATTGGGGCTCACGGCTTGTGATCGGTGGGTATTTGCGTCTGAAAGATGCATTTATGCATCCTGGGTGAGATGGGTGTGACTGATGGCACGGGGAGAGCCCGTCAGAGGGCAGGGCCCCCCAGCCCCATGCTGCTGAGTGCAGCCCATCAGGGTAAATAGCACTCAGCATTAATTGCTTGGCTTTAATTAACTAAGGTGAAACCTCTTCTGTCAACATCCACGAGGGTGCTGGGATGAGGACAAGGGGACAGGCGCTGATGGGAGCGTGGTCTGACCCCAGGCAGGGCTGAGGTCTGTCCCCCAGCCCTTGGGCTCCCCTAGCATTATTGGGGGGGGGCTTTGGAGGCACCTGCATCTCCATCTGTCCAAGGGACAGGGCAGGGAGAGGCATCTTCTCGCTCTTTCCTGGAGAAGCCAGGTGATCCCCAGCACTTGCACCCAGCAGGCCGTGTTTTGCCCTCCCAGCAAGCCCAAGCTTGTGTTTTGAAGCCCATGTGAAGTGCAGACGTGCCCTGCCTGCTCTCCCCCAAGGTCTGCGGGCAGGACAGCACCCTGTGCCCGGCAGCCCTGCAGAGGGGCCGGGGTCGAGGAGGCGAAGGCTGCCCAGTGCCCGCTTCCAAAGCCTGGTATGGAGGTCCTGGGGAGGTCCTGGAAGCGTGTTTTGGGACTGGTGAGCCTGGGACAGTGATCCCCTGGGAGCAGGGCTGAGTTAGTCCCTCTGCAGCCTTAGGAGGCATCTCAGGACCTTGCTGTGATCTCAGGTGATGGGTTGAGGATGGTGATTTAACAAGCACAAGTGTTGCCTTCCCCTCTTCCCGGCAAACAAGGAGCCTCTGCTCAGCCCCTGCTCCTCTCCTCCTGGCCAAGCCTGAAGTCCCTGCTGCGGTGACACTGAAATGGCAGAGCCGCCTGCCGATGCATGGGCTGTACAAACACACTGAGGCACGGTGGGAACCCACAGCCGCCGCCGTCTCCAGCCCCAGCTCACCATGGCCATCCTGCAGCCGGGACGTCGTGGCTCGGCATGCTGGCAAGGTGGGCGACGTCCCCACTGGCTCCGGTTGTTAGCTTGCCACCGTCGCCTCTCCTGCTAATTCCCCTGCGTATTCACCTTGTCTTCACAGGCAATTTCCCCCATTGAAATGTCAGTGGATAATTGAGCGCGCTGGTGACCTTGTTAGGGAGCTGGGCTTGGCGCTGTGCACTGCGCTGGGGAGGCAAGCTGGTGTGGGGCTGTGCGTCCCCGGGCATGGTGCGCTCGGGATGCCTGGGCTCGGGGGAATGCCTATTGCCCCGTGTGCCGTGTGTCTGCATCGCCACGTGTTTGCATGAGGCTGTTGGGATGCGTGTACTGTCCCCTCACGGCAAAGCATCAGTCCTGTTTAGGCTGGAGAGCATCCTGTGGTTTTGGGGATTTCTGTCCCCGTGTCACCTCCCCTTGATGAGGAGCTAAGCTGGGGGAATGCACTGTCCTGGACCTGGACCTAGATAAAGCACACAACGTCCGTGCCGTCATCTCCATCGCTTGGGTTCATGGGGTGCTCTGGGGCTCTGTCTCAGCTCGTGGCAGGGCTGGGGCAGCCGTTCTCCTCCCAGCGGCACTGTGTCCCTGATGTCCCCATCAAGGTGGCCCTTGTGGTGGGAGCTGTTGTTGCCCAGAGTCAGGGACACAGATGTCCACCTTGCTCCATGCTGCCCTGCTGGTGGCTGCGGCTTGTGCCTTTGCGCTGTCGGGGCTGATCCAGGCTGGTGCTGGCAGGGACTGGCTCTCCCCATGGGCTCACTCAGTGCAGCTCCCCTTCTTCTCTTGGCAGAAACATGGGATCCCGGTGCCCGTGACGCCCCAGACGCCCTGGAGCATGGATGAAAACCTTATGCACATCAGGTGAGAGGCCGGGCAGGCTGGGAGTTCCCATGGGGTGAGAACCCAGAGGCTGGGGCCCAGATCCCCCCATCCTGCGTGGTCAGGACAGCCCTTCCCATCTCCAGAGTCCCAGGCTGCCCCACCACGTGCTGGCCAAGGGTGACCCCAAAACCTCCAGCCTCCCTTTCTGCCCAGTTGTCCACATCCCACGTGGCAGTGTCCATCTCCTGGGCTCTCCCAAGCCCCGTGTTCCTTGCAGGGTTGCTGCTAAAAGCCCCTGGAGATCCATAACACATATTTACGCCCATCCTCATGGGGTGGTGGGAGCAGGGAGGTAGTCCCAGCAGGTTTTGGGGTTGCAGGTTGCAGGTGCTGCAGTGACTTCTCTCTCCTTCCCTGCCTGCCTCAGCTACGAAGCCGGGATCCTGGAGAACCCCAAGGTAATCGATCACGGCCGCCCGGCCAGCGTGGCAGCCACAGGGCTGAGGGCGTCTCATGTATTTGCAGCCTAATTGGAAATTTCACGGCAGGCCGTGTGCGGTGGGGAGGCCCTGCCGTCCGCCCCGGCCCCTCCGCCTCTCCCGGCACGTTAATTGCCGCCGGCGTGAATAGGGGAAGGGACTGTTTCAGGGTGACACTGGAGGGGACAATGTCACGGGGCAGCAATAAAGGAGCAATTAGACAGATGAGGCGCTGGTGGGAGAATGGGGGCTGGTGGCGGGTGACGGAGGTCCGAGCTGGCCCCTGCAGCTTGGGTCCCCTGCCCGTGCCTGCAGCTCACCCAGCCCTCCTTGCTTTCCCATCCCCACTATCCGGGGGGAAATGGGGTAAAACCTCCCCTCGCGTGGGGTGGTGCTTGGAGACCCCAAGGGCACCCATGGGACCACTGGCTTTTGGGCAGCTCTGGCTGCTGATGGGGCCAAGAGCCTGGTGGTGGTGGGTGCTGCGGCCGAGCGCTGCCAGTGAGCGCAGCACATCGCTCCAGAGGCGTGGATCCAGCCCCGGCCGCCTCCGAATAGTGCTCATGGTCTGGCTGCCTGCTGGCCCCTGCCTGCACTGTTCATGCTCTAGCAGGTTGCAATGCTCGGTGGCTACTTAAACTATCCGTCAGCGCTAATTAGACAATCCAGGGAGAGGAGGGGGAGGCAGGCGGAGAGGGAGAGGAGCCGGCTGGAGCTCAGCGGCCTGCGGCCGGCTCACTGCAGCTGGGTTGGCGCGTGCCTCTGGCAGGGATGCGAGGAAGAGGAAGGTGGAGAGGGGGTCCCGCTCTCCCTTCGATACCCTCCGGAGGGGTGTCTGCGGGCTGGCCTTTACAAAGCTGGGCCCTCGGGGGGGGGTGTCTCCTTCTCCAGGAGAGTGGTTGGCACAGGGATGGGTTTTCATGTCTCCAGCTGGAGCTAGCAAGGGACAGACTGGTGCCCTTCCCAGTGCACCCATCCTGACCCACCCCTCTGCACCCAGCACCTCTCCCCTGGGGGGAAGATCCCCGGTCTCGAGGTTCTGCCAAGCCCTCTTCCTTCCCAAAGCCATCTCGGAAAATGGGGCCAGTTTAGCAGAGAACAGAGCAGAAACCCCATCCCCAAGCATCTTCCACTCGGACACCTCTCCCTCCGCCAGCACCGGGAGGTGGCTTCCCGGCGCACGGTGTCACCACCGTCCCCTTCCCCAGCCCGGGAAGCGGTGCCGGGCACCGGGGCGGCCGCAGCAGGATCCAGGGTGCCAGGCACGGCGGGCTCCCCTCCCCAAACCCCCGGGACCTGCCAAACGCAGGGATTTGAAAGCAGATGGTTGAGCTATTTTCTGCCTCTGTGAGGCCCGATTGAAGGGCAATGAGGCAGCTAATGCGGAGAAAGATAGAAATTTACTTGCTTTAACTTCATATGGCACTCTGAAAGAGTTCATTCAGTCCCGGGCACAACAATATCAGCCGGATGAATAAACCATTTGCGGCATCGATAGCTCTGCATCATGGTTTACTTCATGGACCATTTGCTTCCAATTTCTTCTCTTCTTGCCCCGTTTTTCTTGCTTCTTTTTTCCCCCCTCCCTCTCTCCCTTTCCACACACTCTTCCTTTTTTTTTTTTTCCTTTTTTTTTTCCTCTCTCCCCTTTAAAGATGACATTGCAGGACTAGCCCCCCTGCAGGGAGGGATAAATAGGAGGCATTGATACACTGCAACAAACTATTTGTCATTTGAACTGTGCTTTTAGGAGAGAGAATAAAAAGAGGACAGACTCGCAAAGTAATGGTGGAATGCAAGCCAAATGTCACTTTTATTTCTATTTAGTTATTTTATTTAATAGGGGTTTTCATAGTTGGCTCGGAAAATTGGAAACTACCTGACTTTGACTTCCAATGTTTAGTAAAGAGTTTTTAATACTTTCTGGTATTTTTTCCCCTCCCGCCCCCCATCTTTCCTTTTGAACTCGAAGTTTTTCATCATCTCTCGCAGGTTCGTCTAGTTAATAAGTGTGATCAGGGCTAGGAAAGGCCAGACGATGTAAAATTGAAATCCACAGCCCGTGTAATTTGTGCGTGTGCGTGCACGGGGGGCACGGGGGAGGCGCGTGTGCGAGCGCCTCCTGTTTAAAGCAAGGGAAAGGGGCAAAAATGAGAGAAAATGGGAACCTGAGGGTGGTTTTGCTGGAGCATGTGCTGGGGTAGTTGTGTCTGTATTCCTGGGACTTGGCTGGGGTTGCCGCCGGGCCGTGCACCCCGGGGTTTGGGGTGCAGCGAGGGGGGTCCCCCCGGTGTGGAGGGGACGGCAGGGATGCTCGCAGCCGGGCGGGCTGCCCTCAGGTGCTGGCAGTGATCGGGCTTTGCTATTTATTGGACCAAAAAAAAGAGGAAGTTTTCACTAAAAGGCTTATTTCCCATCTTTAAAAATTTTAGATGAAAACTTCTGCAGAGAAATTAATTTTCCCTTAAAAAAAAGCTTTAAATTTTTTTAAAACAATCCCTTTTGCTTTTTTTTTTTTTTTTTTTTAAACTTTCTTTCTACCTTGGTCTTTTTTCCTTGCTAGAAAGGAGGAGAGAGGAAAAGTGAGCAGGAGAAAAGTTGTGCTTTAAAAAGGAGAGGAGAAGCAGGGGGACCGTGGGCCAGGCTGCGGGTGGCTGGTGCAGGCAGGGCCCCGGCTGCAGGCAGAGCCCTGGGTGCAGGCAGGGCCCCACTGCCCAGGGGTGCCCAGAGCTCCAGCTCTCACAGCCGCTTTTTGTGGGAAAATACCATTTTACCACCACTCAAAATATTTGCAGGAGCGGCTCAGTTTGGAGAAACTCCACCCGAGCTGCTTGCAGATGGGGTTTTAGGTCGCAGGGACCCCTCAGCTGGAGGCTCCTTTGCAATGTCCCTTCCGATGTTGGCCAAGGAGAGCTTTGGCCCAGCCCTGCTCTACGGTTCGCTTGCTCGGTGCTGCCTGCCTTTCCACCGCTCTGTGCCTCAGTTTCCCTCCCCTGTGCCTCCTGGAGCTGTGGCTGGGTGGGTGGAGGGGTCCCTTTAGAGACAGGATTTTGCAGACACCGGTCCGAAAGTGTTTTGGGGCCAGTGCACACAGCCGCGTCGTGTGTGAGTGCCAAGGGGGCACACGAAATTGCAAAGCATTTGCTCTCTGGGACGGAAAGCTTTTTTTATTATATTTTTCCCCCCGCCTCTTCTGGCACGCGCTTCAATTGTGGCAATTCATTGTCAGCGCCCGAGCCTCTGGTGGCCTGGCTCTGATGGAGATAAGATGCCTCTTTCCTATAAATCTAGAAAAAAAAATATACATAAAGGTTGATGTGCTCTGAAATGGGTTTTTGCTTTGTTCCTCTATTTTCCCCCATGTATATTAACCCCGAGGACACCATGAAAGAGCCGGTGTGCCTGGAGCACCTGCTGGGGTCAGGCCTCCTCATTAGTTTTTTCGGTCAGCGCCGAATAAGCCCGGCCGCAGCGCGGGGACATGTAGGCGCCCGCCCTGCCGCTCGCTGCCATCGTCCCGCTTTTCCCTGCCTGACTTGCGTCTCCTCAGCCATCCCGCCTCCAGCTGTGGGGGCGTCGGAGGAAAAGATGAGATCAAGTTGAGGGGAAAAATTGGCTGATTCTTCCAACCCCTTTGTTCCTGGGGCCCCGGTAAGCACCGGTGCTGTGCCGTGCCGGCCCCGCACTTTGGGATGGGGTGTGCTGGGGATGGGGGATGCACATCAGGGACAGGGGATGCGCGCCGGGGTCAGCGCTGCCAGCAGCATTGGCCATGCCAATGCCGCTGACTCTCTCTCTTCTCTTCCCCACCCTGGGCAGAATCAGGCCCCTGCCGGGCTCTACACGAAGACTCGCGATCCGGCCACCTCTCCCGACACCCCGGATGTGCTGGAGATCGACTTTGAGCGGGGTAAGCGCCTCCTCACAGCCGGCCCTTTGCGCTTCTGCCCCTTGAAGCCAAACCCCGCTCCCCGGCCAGGACCAGGGGCTGCAGATGGTCGGGAGCATCCCTGGGGCGGGGGCAGGCGGGGTGAGCCCCAACGCGTGGTGTCAGGGCTTGGGACAGTGCTTGAGGCACGTTGGGGCTCTTCGGGGGGTGCGGAGGGTCTGGGTATGTCTCGGGGGGCTTGCTGAGACCCCCTGAGAGCAGAGAGAGGTCCGAGCCCGCACCCCAGGCATTGAGGTGCAGTGGGCACAGGGTCCCTCTCCTGCAGGGTGGCACACAGTTGGCCCTGGGGATGCGCAGGTGGCCCTGGCCAGTGTCACAGCTGGGGAGATGCTCCAGTAGGATTTGGCCAGCGGTGCTATCAGCATCGCATGGAGGAGACAGGGACACCCCATCCCATTCTGGGGGATGCGTGGCAGGGCCCAGCCTCGGACCTGTCACCTGGAGAGGGGACACGGGGCAGCATTTCCCACCTCTGCCAGCCATGGGCATCCCCGTGCCACCATCCATCCTGCCAGCAGCCACCAGCCCAGCCCGGGCTGGGGAGACCTCGCTCAGAGGGGGCACCCCCTCCCCACCACCAGCATCCCTGCTCCATTATAATGATCCCCCTGCCAGGAGCAGCCCCCCTCTCAGCAGCCCATTCAGCCCCTAGTTAATTTATTTGAAGTTTTAATCTAATTATTAACTATTTTAAAGGCTAAGCAGCTTTCACCAACAACAGCCCCGACAACGTCGGCTCTCTGCCGAGCGGACCCCGGCCAATACCCCGGCGGAGGATGCGAATAGAAAGAGCCGGGGCGAGGGGAGGGCGCGGAGGGGGGGCCCGCGCCGAGAAGCAGCTTAAGGTTCATTATTGCCGCGAGTTACATTTAATAGCAATTTACAACTTAGTTTATAAACCCCTGGAAAAGAGGGGGTTTAGGGGGGGCCGGGGGGGGGAGCTGACAGCCTCCATCACTAGACAGGGCTCTTGCGGGCGCCTTCGTAATAAAGACTAGAAAGGGAGGCATTGAGGCTGATTGGCAACTGATAGTGCGTTAAATGGTAATGAGGAGGGCAGATGGAGGGGGGATTAGCCTCCAACTCCGCACCGCTTTTCTTTGTGGGCCCCGCAGCCCCCTTGTCAGCTTCCTAATACATTTATTGCTCATTTCACACCGCTAAAGAAAAATGCCTCTTTCTATTCAGCATCCCCCCACAACCCGCCCCGCTCCTGCCCAGCGCCCTTAAAAAAAAATTAAGGGAAAAAGAGGGGGGGAAAAAAAAAAAAAAAGAGGTGCAATAATTAATTCATGGTGGGGAGCACCCTGCCGCGGGGTGCGTGTGCGTGCGTGTGCGAGCAGCCGTGCCCCGGTGTGGGGGTCCCCCCCAGACACCCCCCGTGCTGGCAGGGTAGGGGACACATTTGTCAGCCCCCCCTGGCAGGGGCTGGTGGGACAGAAGGTGCTGTGCCATAAGACAATTGCCGAGCGTGAAATTCAATTAGTTAAGGGCCTGGTTGCAATTTCACAGGCCCTAAAAAAGAGAGAGGGAGAGGACAGGGGAAAAGGAGGGGGGACGGTTTTATGGCCTTTTATTATTTATTTATTTCACTTCTCTCCCGAGGTGGGTCCCCCTCCCCTCGCCTCCCCCCCGCACCAGCTTGGATATGCCTTTTTAAGAAGTTATTTAGAGTTCATATCTGTCACATCTATTTAACGCCTGCGGGGTGATGTTCCGGGGGGATCCTGACACCGGCTGATCCTGCCCGTCCTCCCTCCCCGCCTCCGCAGGTGTCCCCGTGAAGGTCACCAACGCCAGGGACGGAGCCACTCGTTGCTCGGCCCTGGAGCTCTTCGTGTACCTGAACGACATCGCGTGAGTGCCACGCTGTCCCCCACCACCTGCCCGCTGGCTGGCAGTGGGGACGAGGGCAGGGTCCCCAGGGTGAGGTGGAAGCAGGATGCTCACAGCAGGCACATCCCGACATGCCCAGGGATGGTGGTCAGCAGTGTGAGGATGGGATGGTCCCAGCTGGGTCCCAGTTGGGTCCCAGTTGTGCCATTCATGCCAGCAAGCAGAGCTGGGCACCGAGGCCAGGAGCACGGGGGTATTTACAGTTTATGCTTGCTGTGCACGAGAAGGGCTAAGAAGTCTTATTAACACCCTGCGCATTTACTGCCTGCCCCGGCCGCATGGTTGGGCGAGGGCTGCCCTGCCTGCAGCGGGGGCTCAGCCCTGGGGCACCCCTTGCCTGCAGGACACCCCTTTCCCCTGCTCCCAGCTCAGCCCCAGACCCCCAGCTCCTGTGTCCCAGGGAGCATTGCCTCTCCCTGCCTGCCCAAGGGGGCTCAGTGTCCCTTTTGGGTGGGGAGTTGGCTTTTTTGGGGCATGGAGATGTGCTGACTGGGTCCATTGCCCTGCTCTCCCCCTGCCTCCGCAGCAGCAGCTCCTTCGGGGGTTTCTGCCCTGTGCCACCCCTCGCCCGGTTTCTGCTGCCGCTGGGCAGAGCCATCCCCAGGGGCTTGCCCAAAAATACGGCAGCACCCATGAGGACACCCACTCCTCCCACCCGGTGCCAAGTGCCACCCAGTCCCCGGCCATCCTTCTTTGTGCCTCTGCCTTTATCTCCCCCGTGCTGAATGGGAATGAACTTTTTCATGTAGTTCTCTTTTTAAATGTTAATTAAATGGTTTTAAAATTACTTCAGCCATCGGGAATACAGCTGCAGCGTGTCCTGTTCCCTTGCCCGGTTTATTTTCCAGTGGCCCATGTGCCATAGCTGCCTGCAGCACTGTCAGCCCCAGCAGCGAGTGAGGATGGAGATGCTGGTGGCACAGCAAAGAGGAGGGGAAAAGGAGAGAAAATCCATCTCCTTGTCACGTGTCCTATCCGGGGGCCACTACCAATGGTCGCCAGTGCTGCTCAGATGCTGGCCATGCTGTCATTTGGGGTTTGCCCCTCCTTTTGTCCCCCCCCTCAACCCACCTCTCGTGGCCGCCTGCATCCCGCTGTGGGGCTGGGGCTGCTGCAACCTCCCTTCTCCTCCACAGGGGCAAGCACGGCGTTGGGCGCATCGACATCGTGGAGAACCGCTTCGTCGGGATGAAGTCCAGAGGTGAGCAGCCACCAGCTGGCAGTCAGGTCCCTCCCTGAAAAAAAGGGAAAGCCCTGGTGGGACGTGGTGGATGCTCAGCATTGCTGGGGTGCTCTGGCTCAGGCCATGCCAGCAGCCCTCAACTGCTCCCTTCCCATCAGCTTTCGACAGAGATTTCCCTGAGACAGGGAGTTCCCACTGGTCTCTAATGAAGGCAGCTGCCCGCTCGCTGCCAATGCCACTGTTTGCACCAGCCGTGGGGTCCCAGTGTCACCGGAGACCCCAGGTCTCAGGTGAGACCTGTCCCCAGCGGGAAAAAATGCCAGGCTGCGGGCTTGCATGGGAGGATGCTCACGGGAGGTCCTGGAGAGTGCAAGGCTGTATAATGCAGGTACAAAGCGCAGGAGGCTGATGCAAGTCACTGAGGGGTTTTTTAAAGCCAATTCTTTGATTTATCTATGTGTTTTGAGGCTGTGACTCAGTATTGATCATCCATTAGGATCAGCTTCATTGGAAATCTCTGGAGGCAGCGAGCTGCCCCATGCAGAACTAAGTAACGAGAGGGCTTAGAATAATTTCCCATCTCCTTGCCCCTGCTCTTTTGTTTTAAATCTCGTTAATACCTAATTAGATGCTCTCTTTCTTTAAACTTGCCCTTCACGCAGAGAATCAGCAAATATTTTGATAAGACTCAGCCCGCCGTCTCCCTCCCCGCCGCAGCGCACTGGCCCCTGTGCAAAAGCATCAGCCACAAAAGATGAGAAACAAAACCCCAAATCATTCGATCTGAGTTTGAATAATCAAATTAAAACCGAAAGAAGGAAAAAAAAAAACCCAACCCCAAACCGCACACGCCAGCCTGTGCATTTGCGTGCAGGATGCTGAGTAATTTGTCAAAATCTATTTTATTTTTTTAAGAGCCACTGACATGCTCTAGTGACCCTTCCAGCATTTAATAATTTCTCTAAACCCCATTTAACTGTCATGTCTGTCTCCTGCATGACACTGCCATTGCGATCGCTGCCGCGTTTGTGCGCCGGCAGACGTGGGAGGACGGGGCTTTCTGGGGACAGCGGGGGTGCGCGTGCCTCGGGGACAAGACCTTGGCGACAGGTTTTCCCCCTTGCTTTGAGCAGGATCCTGCCCCTGGTTTTGCTCCTTGGGATAAGCAGAAACCTCTCCAAAATCTGCTCTGAGAGATGGAGAGCTGGGACGGGAGGGGGCTGGAGCAGGAGGGTGTTGCTGGTACCTGCCTCCCCCGGGGGTTTTGGGGTGCAGGGCAGCTCGGGGTGGCCCCACCACTGCTCTGCAGGAGCATTTTGGACCCCAAATGGGATTAGAGTCAACGGGACAGGAGAGGGGACCTGGGCTTGCAGGTGGGAAGAGATGATCCCTTAAATCCCAGCAGCGTGTGGTGACCCTGTGCCTGTTCGCTCCCACCATCTCGGGGCTCCTCGGGGCAGCACAGGGACCCCTTCTCCACAGGGACCCCCTGCTCTGCAGGGGAAACTGAGGCACGGGCAGTCAGCAGCACAGCAAGAGCCCTCCACGGCCACAGAGGTGGCAGCGAAGGCTCCCGTCAGGTGCCTCCTCTCCCTCACCTCCTGGAACCGGGGAGTCAGGGAAGAGAAAAATTCATTTGCATTGATTTTTACTAAGCTCCTAATTGAACTTCGTTAAGGTCTAATGGGCAAGGGGCGAGCTGAGCCTGCCTGCGCCAGCCTTTTAAGCCCTATTAACTCGCTTTTGCCGTATTTGTTTTAGTGGGAGGAGGGTGGGTAATTATGGGGTGCCGGGAGCGGTGCTGCAGCCGGCCGGAGGGGCCGCGGCTCGGCCAGGGGCTCTTGGCTGCGAGCAGGAGCCCGGCCTTGCCTCTCCTGCCTTTTCACATCCTCATTATCAAATTATCTTTTTAACTCCAAAGGGGGGCTAATTAAGTGAAGTAAATGAAATCAGTGGGGAGAAAGTGGGAAGGAGAGGACGGCTGCTGGCAAAAGAGCCGAGCACTGCCTTGGGCTGGGGCTTTTCCTCCTTGCTTTTCCTTTTTCCTCCCCTCGATGCGCTGAGCAGATGGAAGAGGAAAGTGGAAAACCCCTTCCCTGTGATCAACCCATCCCAAGCCACGCTCAGCCTCAGCCCTGGACCATCAGTGGAAATTTGGGCAGCACCTTCCCCTGGGCAGCATCGCCCTCCCCTTCCCCTCGGGAAGCCACCGCATCCCGTCCTGTCCTGCGGATGCTGTCGGAAGTGACAGCCCGCACTCAGCACAGCAAAATTGCTCCGATGGAGGTGAACTGACAGCCGAGGTTACAAATTAGAAAATTTTAAGCAGCGGCAGCTGTCTCCTTGGCTGGCCCCCCCATACCCCCCCGCTCCGGTCCCCCCCTTCCCCAGCGGTAATTATGGGGTGATTGAAGCTTCGCCAGGCTGCAGTGCTGACACCTCTGTCTTTTTCCTGTAAACACGGGGAGATGAAAATAGACACTTGGAGACGCCGCAAGTGTCACTTTGAAGGTGTCTCTTGTCTCCTCAGTGGCGAGGCTGGGAGCATGGCTGTCAGCTCCCCTCCCCTCCACCCCGGCTGTCACGCTCCTCCGGTCCCTGGTCCTCTAGCGTCAGGTCGAACGGGACAGGCAGGAGTGCAGGCAGACGGGCAGGAGGTGGGCACCGAGACACAAACCTTTGGTCAGCCCGAATTGGCTTTCACAACTCCTAAGGGGAAGCAGAAGGAATATTAATTGTGTTAGCTTTGCAGTTGGGGGCTGGAGGGGGCATACGGCAGCCCTCTGCGCCCCTGTGCCGCCGCCGTGGGACAGGGGCGCAGGGGGACAGCTGTATGGTTATGGGACGGCTGTATGGTTATGGGACAGCTGGTTTTTGGTGTTAACTCGGCTGTCTCCTCCCGCAGCCCCGTGGGGATGGGTGCTCGGTGAGCACCCCGTGACCTGCCCCCGGGGACCAGGCCGCAACATCGCTGGGGTGGCCTGAGAGGAGGGGGTGGCTGTCCTTTGGGACAGAGACCCGTCCCGTGCCTGTAGGATGCTGAGACCATGGACCCTGGTAGGGACGAGGTTTGATGGAAGTGGCTTGGGCTGCCGTGGTAGATAGGGCTCCTGCTGTGTCCGTGGGACCTGTGGCCACCCTGGGATGGGACCCCGCTTCAGCCTCTGCCGCACACCAGGGCACTGAGCAGGCAGAGCCCGGTGCAGGTTTGAGCCCCCATGACAGCCCCGTGGGCTCCCCTCACCCCCTCTCGGGGCTGGGGCTGGTTGAGGACGTGTGTCCTTTGGCAGGGATGGTTTCCTATGGGCTTTCTTTGTGTGCCAGCAAAACCCAACCTGTGGGTGTCCTTTGCCATTCCTATGGCCGTGACATAGCACGGATGCCTGGCGTTGGGAGGGGACCATCCCCAAGGGCGGGCAGGGGACAGGGACATGCTGGTGGAACAGCCCTGGCCATGGGCAGGTTACAGCCCTGCCCGCCACGTGTTTGCTGCCGGACTAGCTCAGCGTTTCCCCCACCGGCTTCCCACCCGCATCCAACCTGGAGCCATGGCCACTGCGTGGCCACCCTTGCATTTAAACACCAAGTAAACATGTTATGCAGCAAATAAGCCCGGAGCGGCTGGAACAAAGGGAGCAGCTTGCCCGCAGCATTAGTCCCCATCGCTGAAATAATCAAGCATCCCTCCATCCCCAGGCCTCGTGCGATACGGGGGCAGGCGGCAAGGGACCGGAGGGGGGGCCCTGCCAGCCCCAAATGAGGTTGCCCTCCCAGCCCCCAGGTAGCCTCATTGCTTCGCAACGGACGCGCGGGGCTCTTTTTCGCCCGCCGAGGGGAGAGGAGGGTATTTCAGGCCCTCCGCTCCCCGTGCCTGTGCCCCGCGTCGTTCCTTTAATTACAGGTTTTCAGCTGCAGACCGTTGGGCACGGATCGGTGGGGGGATCGGTTCCCAAACCCTGTCATTTAGCCTCGTCAGAGTGCCTCTTCAAAGAGGGGAATCTAGAAATTTTCTCCGCAAGGTGCGGAGTGGACTGTCTCGGCCCCAGCATGAATATAATGACAGATGCATTTTACAGCAAGCTGGGACTGAATGCGCTCGACCACAGCTCCTTCTGTCAGCCAAATCATTATTTTTTGTCATTTGCTGACAGTTTTGGTCTCATACGTTTCTCTCTCTTTTTCTGCTTTTCCCCCTGCCTGGAAAAATGGCTAGGTATCTATGAGACCCCAGCGGGAACGATCCTATACCATGCGCATTTAGATATCGAGGCCTTCACCATGGACCGGGAAGTACGGAAAATCAAGCAGGGGCTCGCCTTGAAATTCTCCGAGCTGGTGTACAACGGTACGTACGGTCCTTCGGCCTGGCCCTGCTGCCACAGCATCCTCCCAGCCCTCCTCATCCTCCTCCCTCGTTGCTACCGGAGGCTGCAGGTCCTGCTGGTACATGTGCTCAGGGCTGTAAAATTCAGATGTGGATTTTGAGGCTACTCACGGGGGAAAAGAGGGGTTTGCTTGTGCCGAAGGCTGAGCTCGACCCCGCGCTCTGCCTGTTTTTGTGCCGGAGGGGCTCCATGCCTGCCTTCGGGAGGCAATGCCGCCTTCCATCTTGCTGGTGGGGGATGCTCCCGGCATCTCTCCCAGCCTGGTGCCACTGCTTCATCCCATCCAACACATTCGTATGTCTCTCAGGCTGTAATTCACTGTCCCTTTGTGCCCCCCCCAGCCTTTCCCCAGCTCTCCCCTCCAGCCCCCTCCATCTCTCCTCCTGCCCTCGCCCCATGGGGACCGGAGCACACTGGGATATGGGGCATGCCATCCCGGCACAGCCATCCCCACGGTGGGGTTTGAAGCCGGAGACCTCTCCCCATGCCCTGGCGGGGGCAAGCCCAGGGGTGCATGGCACAGGGGGCTCTCCGGGTGCCGTGGCCCTGGCCAGCGGGGCCCGGGGGGCTGCGGGAGGGGACAGGAGGGTCGGGGCCATGCTATGCGGTGCGCAGCCCACACAGGGGCACTGCGGGTTGTGGCTTTGCTGGGGGCTGCAGCAGGGGCTTCCAGCCGCTCCCAGCGCAGCCAGGCCTGGGCCAGGACAGCACTGCCCGGCTGGGCTGGCAGCCCTAAGGGACAAGGGGACGCTGGCTTGCACCCACCGTTAGGGACAGACATCAAGCCCTTTGCTCTTCCTCCTGTGATGCACCCAGCGGCTCCGGTGCGGGTCTGCTCAGCCACCCACGTGGGCTGAGTTTGAGGGGTCTCAGCTCAGTCCCCCCTGCGCTGCTGGGGTGGGTGCTGCAGGGAACAGCCTGCCATGGCCCATGAGGCTGCTGCCCCGGGGGGGGCCGGGAATGGCACCCCCAGGAGGGGACGTCAGCACTGCCCCGGGGTCTGCTCCGGGGATCAACCCTGGCTCGGTTGTTGGTGCTAAGTTGAAGGAAGCAGGATTAACCCAAAATGTTGTAGTTGTGCTCAAAACCCTGCTGCCCACAGCACGGCTCCAAGCACAGCAGTGCACCCCCATGCCCCGGCTCTTCCTCCATCCCCTGCCCGCTTCAGAGCTGACGTCCCTGGAGACCCCACACTGGGGAGATTTCCTGCCCCTCGGCCAAACAACACTTTTTTCTTTCATATGTCCTGATTTCTCAGCCTCCCAGTTCCTCCTCCCATCCCTTTTCAGGCATTGCTCTCTAACCATGGCGGTGATCCCCCCCTGGAAATAACCTGACTCCAGAAGCTCAGGCTTTGGGCAGCAGCAGATCCAGCGGGACTGGGTCAGGCTGTCTTCTCCTCTGCAGTTTTTGATGCCGTGCTTGTCCTTGGCACCTTCCCCTCCGAGGACGTTCCCTCCTGCATCTTCCTCAGCAACTGGCATTTAATGCCCGAGCCCCTTTGCTGCTTAAACTGTATTTTAGGGCCCCAGCAGGGCGAGGGCCTCTGGGGCTGCAGAAGTCTCGATTACCTTCCCCTTGAATCACAGCCCCTGCCTTAATTCACCCTCTGATGCCACTCCTGCCTCTGGTTATCTTTATTAGACTTTGTCCTGGGCTGCCTCTATTTTGGCTTTTTTTTTCCAGTTTAAGCATAAACCTGTTTGTTTATTTCTAACCACCCACTTGTTGTGAAGCCATGAGATTAAAGAACCGCTCACAGAATCGTGGTCTCGCTTCTCCCTCCCCACCTCTGCCAGGCAAAGGCTGCTGTTTCCCTGGCTCCAGATGCTGAATCCCGGGGGATTTTCAGCCTGGCCCTGGGCTTTCCTGGCAGCCGAGCCCAGACCCAAGGAACAATCCCAACGGGGTGCAGCACCCGCAGGTCCCCCTGCCAGAGGCCAGGCTTTCAAGCTCACCTTCCTTTAACACCTCATTATTGCAACTAGTCCCTGATTTTAAGTGAATTAGTGTTTATCTTCCCCCCCGTCCCCATTGATCCCATTGTGGAGGGGTGGCTTTGAAGCCAGCTCCGGTCCGGCAGGTACGGCCAGGTGCGGAAATGCCATTGTCCCCCTGCCCGCCGCGATTAGGGCAGGATCCTGGTTACAAGGCGGGAAGGTCATTAAACGGGATCGCTTCCCGTGGGGAATGTGTCTGCGGTGGGGGGCGAGGAGGGGGGGATGCTTCCTCACACCTGGAGCTGTCAGAGTCAGGATTTAAGTAGCTGGTTATTATTTTAATGTGTCTCGGGTTTATTTTTATGGGGATGCAACAGCCATACATCAATCCTGATGTTTGAACGGTTGTACCTGGAGGGTGGTTACCAAAAAGAGGGGTGTATTTGCCCAAAGACGGGGTCCCTGCCTGCATGGCAGTGCCGATTGCGGGGAAGGGGTCCCCAAACTCCCCGGCCATGCTGCAGTGGGGTGGTGGAGGGGGTCTGGGTCAGGGAGATGGTTTTGACCCTGGGAGGTTGCAGGGCTTTGATGCCGTGCCTCAGTGCAGGGCTACGCAGATCCCAGGGACAAGGCTGCAGGATACGGCCCCGCTCGGGGCTGGCGAGGCCAAACAACAAAAGAAATTGTTTGTTTCTTCAATGGCTTCGGCCCCGGAGCCCAGCTGGGAAGGGAAAGGTGAGAGGGCACCGGTGTGTGAGCGGGAGGGCGATGGGAGAGATAAAACCTGGGGATGACCGGAGGGCGGTGAATGGGCTCTTTCTCTCTCCTCCTCTATCTCCCTCTCCATCTCCCAGGCTTTATTCCAGGTCTCCGAGGGCTCCCCGGCTAATTACCCCGCTTAGGGACAGGAGGGGGCACAGGGGCAGCAGGCAGGGCCACAGCCCCTCCGTGCGCCTGCGGTGGCCTCGGTGGACGGCAATGCCAATGGCTGCTCCCGCAGGATGCATTTTGGGGGGCCACGGTGCGAATGCACATCACCCCAGCGCCCAGCCCAGGCTTCAGCCCCGCTGTCGGGAGCTTGGGGTGCTGGGGGGCTGCCGTGCCAGCCGGAGCTGGGGCAAGAGGAGGAGGCGCTTGCTGTGGTCATGGTTAGATGGAGCTTTGGGTGGGTGCTGGCACCCATTCCCTGCATCCCACCAGGCCCTCGCTCCAGAGGCATGGGGGAAACAAGTTAAACTGCAAGCGGTGACGGGGGGAGCGCGGTGGTGGGGGAAAGCAGAGCCCTGCTGCCCTAGGAAAGGCCAGGAAGGTGAGCCCACCCGGGGCTGCCGAGACGCCTGTGCCCCGACGCGCAGCCTGATACAGCCCCGGGATCAGCCCCGGCTGTGTTACCTGGGGGGAGCACTCTGCTCCGCATCCCACAGGGGACGGGGCGTGGAAGCGGGCTGGGGGGCTGCCCCGCTGGGACCCCCATCGCCGGGGGGGTTTCCCTTCCCAGGGCTGCCCAGGGGCAAAGTGTTGCTGTGGGGGCTGCATGCCCCCAAGCAGAGCCCACGGTCGGGGTTGGCCCCTCGGGGCCGATCCCTGCCCTGCCTGTCCCAGGGGAGAGCAGCTCGTCCCCGGGAGCTGGTTCCCCCCCAGATTCTGTGTCCGCCTGTCTGTCTCCACATGACCCTCCCAAGATGCTGGTTCTTGAGTGGCAGTTCCATAATAACTTAACGAAGCTTTTAATTTCCATGAGGGCCCCCCACCCAGAGGAGCTGGAAGGAGAATGGCCCCGCTGCCTCTTCTCCAGCAGCTGGTTCCAGCCTCCTCTGCCGGGTGGGGACCCGAGGGCCACCGAGGGAAAGGGACACACGTGGGGTCTCCATCACTCAGAGCTGAACCTGGGTGTCCTGGCACCTCTCCCAGTCCCCTGACCGCCTCCCTTCCCTTGTAAATTATTAGAGTCTGCCTTGCAGGACTTCACCTGGGGGAACCACCCTGCATGGGCACCCCGGCCCCTCACTGACGCTGCCTCCTGCCCGCAGGCTTCTGGCACAGCCCTGAGTGTGAGTTCCTCCGGGAGTGCATCGGGCGCTCGCAGGAGGCGGTGGTGGGCACCGTGCACCTCTCCGTCTTCAAGGGCCAGGTCTACATCCTGGGCAGGGAGTCACCGCGGTCGCTGTACAACGAGGAGCTGGTGAGGTGAGTGGGGTTTGGGGGGCCAGGGTGGGCAGGGGTGGTGGCAGAGAGCATCCCATCCCATCTCTCCCAATCCTGTCCCACTCCATCCCATCCCATCCCATCCTGTCCCAGCCCTGGTGACACCAGGCACAGTGTCCTCCCAGCCCAGCGCCTGGCCGAAGCAAGAGCCCTGTTTTCAAGTCAATATTATTTTTTTCCTCCAGCTTTTCCTGTTTCTTCACGTTGTTTTCTCTCTTGCTCACTCCCCCCCTGCCCTCCCTCAACCCCTTTCAATCTCTCTAAACACTTTATAAGCCATAAATACACCCGAATGAGTTTAGATCAGTCGGAGTAAATGTCAAATTATCTTCTCTCTTTCTCTTCTCTGGCTTTTTTCCCCCCCTTCCCTCCCCCTCAAAATCAACAGCTCCTAATAATCCGTCCCAACCCTTCATTATGCTTCGCGCTCTCACTTGGAGAGATTAAATGAATAAAGTATAAAAAAAAAATAAATAAAAAAAAAGAGGGAAGAAAAAAAAGGAGGATGGAGGGGGGTGGGACAGAGGAAAAAGAGAGAGGGAGAGAAAAGCAGGGGCACTTATTCTCCCTGCGTCTCCAACCATTTTCCTTTTCTTTTTGATTTCTACATCGCTGGTTTGAAAGCCTTTGAGTGACGGCGTCACAGGAACCCGAGAGAAAGCTGTGAGAGGCAGAGCTGTGTGGAAATGCCTCTGCACAGTAGGTAGAAAGTAACATAATTATAGAGCAGGTCAGAACCACTCGAATGAGCAAAAATAAAAGCACAGAGGTTTTTCTGTAGCCCGTCAGGGGAGGTAAAATCATTGTAAACTCTTTCTTTTTTTTTTATCTTCTTTATTTCACCCCCCCCCCCCCCCCCCCCCCCCCCCCCCCCCCGGCGTCACAGGAACCCGAGAGAAAGCTGTGAGAGGCAGAGCTGTGTGGAAATGCCTCTGCACAGTAGGTAGAAAGTAACATAATTATAGAGCAGGTCAGAACCACTCGAATGAGCAAAAATAAAAGCACAGAGGTTTTTCTGTAGCCCGTCAGGGGAGGTAAAATCATTGTAAACTCTTTCTTTTTTTTTTATCTTCTTTATTTCCCCCCCCCACCCCCCCCTCTTTTAAGGTTTGTGGTTTCTGGGAAATGAGCCGTGTGTTTTGGGGATGTAGGAAACCATCGAAGTTGGGATTCGGTGGGTGGCTGCTGCCTTTGGGGAGGGGGATGTGCTCGGTGTTGTATCGAGGCACCGGCCGCTGCGGCCATAAACCCCGTTGGTGCCAGGGGTGTCCTCCAGCACCGCTGCCCTCCCCTGGGCAGCGTCCCCTGCCCCGGACCTGGGGCAATGTCCCTGCCTGGCATGGGACAGCCATGCTCAGGAGACGGCTCTGGGGCAGGGCGAGCAGCCCTGCTTGATGCAAGAGCACAGGGACGAAGGGTGATGATGCACACGAGGGACCATGGAGGGAAATCTGGGGCTGTGTCTCCAGCAGGGCCCTGGAGAGCCTGGGGATGGCCATTGGGGTGGCCCTGTGGCTCTGCTGCTCCCGAGGCCACGTGCCCTTTCCCAGGGGCTGGCGGGGACCCTGCCCTGAGCCCCCCTCAGCCATGGGCAGCTGAGGAGGGGTGGCAGCGGGCACTGACCCAGGGGAGCAGCTGCTTCCAGGGTCACCTGTGTCCGCTCCCTTCCCAAAAGGCAGCCCCAAGCCTGCCCTGGGACCCCCATCCCCATGACAGTGCCTTTCTCTCCACAGCATGAACGTGCAGGGGGACTACGAGCCTGCCGATGCCACCGGCTTCATCAACATCAACTCACTGAGGTCTGTGGGGTCGAGGTGGGATCCTCCCCGAGCGGGGGGAAAAGCCCCCAGCACCCCCGGGGCTCGCCCCTGCCCCGCGGGATGCAGCCTCCTTCCCTGCTCGGGCTCTGGGGGTGCACCTCGGCCTCCCCCCGAGCCCCCAGCAACCGCCAGGGTGCAACCACCTCCCCCCCAGCACCAGCCCTGCCTAATTACAGCCTTCCCCAGCACAGCCGGTCGTTATTTTACTTATTTCTCAGACCCCACCATACTCCCCGCCCCCCAACTCCGGGGCTGTAAAACACGCCACATTTACATAATGGGCTCTTAATTTTTCCATTGCCTGTTAACTGCTTTGTTCTCCCCGATCCGCCATGTCCCCCCCACCCCTCTAAGATAAATTAATTACATTATCTCGTGGGAAAAAAAAATAATTAAACTGTACAGGCCTTAACAAATGCCTGCTCTTCACGCCCCCTCATTCTGTTTAAATTAATTGAAAGGAAATGTGTGTTATTACTGTTAATTTACAATTAATTATTTTTTTTTTTAATTCGGTTTCCAGGCTGAAGGAATATCATCGTCTCCAGAGCAAGGTCACCGTAAAGCAGGATGAATAGCAATCAATCGCACGCGAGCCTCCCGCTCCCCTTTCTAATTTCTCTAAGAACTAGCAACTAATTGTGGTGGTAATTTGTAATTGTAACTCGTCTCCCTGGAGTCACGGCAGAGGTGATGGCTTTGTTACGGGGCGGCAAGTGAAATGCAATCATTAAAAAAAGGTGGTCGGCCAGAGGAGAAGTGAGGAAAGAAATAAAAACCCAGCCACGCGCTGGGTCCACTTATTGAGAGCCGGGCTTTATTCCTGCCTTGTTTGTTTGCTCTTCTGGCCCAGCGCTTCCCCGAGCCGGGCTTTGTGAAATTTTTAATGGATTAAGTGCCCCTGAAGGACGTGGAGGGGGTTGTCGGTACCTTGTTGTGAAGGTGGGGAGCAGGGGACATCGCCCCAAACGGTGCTGGTCCGGAGGGGCGAGCTGGGTGGCGGGGATGAGTTAAGAGGATTTGAGCCTTCCTTTGTTTTAGTGCGTTTTAAGAGCAGACTTGGGGCTTGTTGAAAAGGGAAAAACAAGGGAAATATCCTCCGATGGTGTTGTGGGAGGCAAGGAGGAGAGGAATGCTTGCTCCGGGCTGGGCAGTGGGCTTCTCTCCCATCGCATCTGGGAGGGCTGCAGGTCCCTCCATCCCCGGGGCTCAGGCTGCAGCGCTCGGCCGGGACGCAGGGATGGCTCAGCGAGGGAGACCTGCTCCGAAACGTACGGTGGAAGCAGGAGGAAAGAAAACACTTTCTAACCCGTGCAAACACCCGGGATGCACTGCTCCTCCACACCGCCGAGGATGGGGAAGGACCCGGTTTGGGATGTCCCCGTGGTGGGTGTCCCCAGGCTGGGAACAGAGAAGCCCTCCAGGGGCTGGGAGCGATGCAGCCCCCATGCTGCATCCTGCGGTGCCTGGCGCGGCTGCGGGGCACCAGGCAGCCCCATCCCGGTGGCAGGGACATGCCGCTGTCCCACCCATTTGGGGAGCAAAAGCAGAGCTGCCACCAAAAAGAGGAACATTTTTGCAGCCCCCAGGGGAGCAGCCAGGCCTGGTGGCCATTCGGGGATGTCCAGGCGTGCCCTGCCCACCCTGCTGCCGAGCCGGCGAGCGTGACAAGCTCTGACATCACAGCTGGGAAAATAACATGTTATTTTCCCAGCTTGGATGTGACTTTCCCTGCTATTACTGGCAGCGACCATCTTGGGAGGAGAAAGCAGTGGAGGGTTGTCAGGCAAGGGGAGAGAAATGGTTTTCTGGGCTGGCGAAGCCTGTCTGACCCCCGTGGGGCGCGGGGAGGGGGGAGGCTGCGTGGGGCCGCCCTGTTCCCTACAGCCCATTGCTTTCAGCAGCAAGTCCACGTAGAAAATGCAGCTACACGTGGGGGTCCCTCATGAGCTGTGTCCCGGAGCCCCGCAGCGGTGGTGGTAGTCAGCAGGGTTGTGCTGTTCCTCCCACAGCAGCCCCCTCCCAGGTGGGGGAAAGAGCTTGAAACCTCATCAGGAGCCATCTCCTGGGGGGATCATTCAAAAAACAAGATGGGAACAGAGCTGCTGTCCTCCCGCACGCTGGGGAAGGATGCTGTGCTGGCCCATGGGACAACGGGCAGCCCTGTAAGCTGTGAGCATTACCTCCCCTGCCCACCTGTCCTTGGCAGCAACACGGCTTGGCCGTGGCAGAGGTCTCCACTGGCAAAGTGGATTTTGAAAGAACGTGGTGCAATGAGGAGCTGATGTCTCTTTTGGAGGAAAAACAACAAAAAAACCATGTCACAGCAGAAGCTTCTTGTGCCCAAATGCTTGAGAAATGCCAGACGTGCTCAGGGAGGGCTCATCAGACCAGCTGGGCCACCTCTCCCCGGGGTACTTAAATCATCAGCTGGAAAAAGCCGTTTCACCCCAAGGCCTCAGATCTCCTCCAGCACCCGTGCTGCAGCACTTCGGAGCGTGGACCCCAGGGTGCCCCGGTTGCCCATCCCTCGCCGCACCCGCTGGGATGCACAACGAGGTTGTTGGCTGAGGGTAGAGGATGCTGCAAACCATGGCAGCTCCGACTCCTCGGGCAGTACAGGGTTGCTCTCGGAGGCAGTGGTGGACGTGGCTGTGGTCAGCCTTAGAGGAGTAGCATGTATCAGCTTCCAGCGGCTGCTTCCAACTGGGCTGAAAGTGCATCGTGCTGGTAAAGCAGAGCTCAGTGTACTTGAACAGCCAAGTCAAACCCAGTGGGAGTCTTGCACGGGAAAAAAAACTCTTGAAAATCGTGGGGTTGCAGGACAGAGAAGACCCAGCAAGCGCCTGCCCTTTCCCCTTGGTGCAGCTACCAGGGGCTGCAGCAATAGGATGCTGTGAGTCAAACACCGCATGTTTAATTACTTTACTGCTTTAATTACCATCAGCTCCTCCAGTTCCCATGATTTGGTGGTTTCTCATTGCCCTCCTTGCAGTTTCCCAGCATCCTTCCACCCCGGCGTGTCGCAGGGAGGTATGTCAGGGGCTGGGGCTGTATGCCTCACATTGCAGTGGGAAGGAAAAGCAGTGGGCGAGCAGCATGGTGTGAGCAGCTCCTGAACCACCAGGTAACTCCCCAGCAGAGGCATTTTGGGGATAATATTTTGTGCTTTCAAGGTGGCAGGCTTGTTTCTGCAACATCCACCCAGCTGTAAGGGCAGCGAGCGTGGGCTGGGGGCTCTTCATTCCCAGGGCAGAGCTGCGGCTGGGAAGAGCCCGGAGGGACCCTGGGAAGGGACCTGGGTCACCGCTGGGCTTTGAAACTCTTCTGTGCATCCCGCACAGCATCACCCATCACTCAAGCTCTAGCCTGCTCAGGGTCAGCCCCTCGCCACCCTGGGGCTGGGGGTCCCTGGGGATGCCCTTGGGAAGCTGCACCCCCTCTTTGCACTGCAGGCCATGCTGTGGGGCTGCTCTGCCGCCCTCCCAGGCTCTGGGGAAGGGCTTGTCCGGGGTCATTGCAATCGATATCTCATCTGCAGGCTCTCCTAGCGGAAGTGATGGTATATTGGAACATGGTAATGGGTCTTGTCTAGTGGAAAAGGCTAATCTTCCCCAGCTGTACAGGATCTCCGCAGGTGTCCTCCGGCTCTCCCCGCTGCCACCAGCCCTGCAGCTAGCCAAGGAGCAGACATGCTTCTTTAAAGCTGCAGCAGTCCAATTTATTGCTGGTCCCAGTGAGGGAGAGCTGCCTCCAGCCCAGCCCCACGGGGCACAGACCTGTGGTCAGGGCTTCCCAGCGAAGGACCAGCACCCAGGGTGGCACCACATGGCACAGGCAGCCGCAGCAGCTCACATTTGCTGGCTCAAAGCAGAGAAGGCGACATGTCCTCCAGCCTCACTCACCTAGGGATGGCGTTTCCCCAGGGAGAGGAGGAGGAGGAGGAGGATGTGGGGATGATGCCAGGAGGGATGTGGACCCCTCAGAGTGCCACCTGCAAGCGTAGGTGGGAAGGCAAGCATGTGCCACAGGGAAAAGTAGGGGGGAAAGTTCCTTGCTGTTAATTTGGCTTTTTTGGCAACATGCTTGCTGCCTGGCACGGCTCACCACATGGGGCTTGGCCTGTTTTGCCCATCCCTAGGGATTGCTAGCAGAGGCAGGTCTCCTCTTCCCCTGCCCGGCCAGCTGTCGTGCCCAGGCAGGCTTTGTACATGCCCAGGGAGCTCTGGTTTTTACAAGCTGACCAGCCAACGCTGGCTACCGCAGCCTGCTGCATCACTATGGCAAAATCAATTTTCCCCTTTCTCTGGAGGTAGAGGTAATTACCTAATTGCATGTGAATTTTAGCGCAAGCGTTGCCAAGAACAACTCCGAACAATGCACAGGTTTGGGCAATGCGTCCTGGGGCTTGGATGTGGCCACGGGGTGAGGAGCCCCCAGGTGTGGTCTGCAAAATGGGGGGCCCAGAGGCTTGGGGGAGCCCCTTGGAGGCTGAGCTGCCATCAGGTCCCATGAAGGTCGTGCCAAAATCCTGCTGTTCGGGGCAGGGACTGTTTCCTGCAAAAGACAGTAAGAATAGATGGGTGTTAAGAGAAAACTCCGGGGGGGGGGGGGGGGGGGGGAAGAAAAAAAAGAGGGGATGGAAAAAAAAACCGCGGGGGGGGGGGGGGCAGAGCAGCTGTAGGGCCACTGGGATTTTGCTTAAACTTTATTTTATTGCTTGGAGAAAAGGAGTAAAAAGGGGGATGTTTTGCAGGAGGGAAGCAGGGAGGTCTTGTGCAGCTGTACCCTGTGGGACCCTGTCCCCATCACGTCCCCTCCTGGGGCTCCATCTCCCCACCTGCGGGATGTGTGGAAGGGACCCCGGCCCACCTCTCCCAAGGGAGGGGGAGAAAACCCTCTTGTGCTACCCAATATCAGGTAATTTTGGGCAGGCAGTGGTCCCTGGGTGCTGGTAATGGCCCGGCAGCGCCGAGGATGGCATTCCCCTGGCAGGGGTACTGCTACCAGCAATGGAAAAACCATGGGAGACCCTGCAATGAGCATTTGGTCCCTGTTTTCCTTCAGAGACGCGACTCCAAGTGGGTTCATGGAAGCACACGGGTCACAGGGCTGCAGCACAGCGCAGCTATTAAGTGTTTCCATCTTTCCGAGGGAAAGCCATCCCCCCGGTGAGGTTGGGAGTCACTGGCCGTGAGCTTCCCAGGCAAGGGGGAGATGGTCGCCTTTGTAAACCCCTTAACAAGGTGGCTTTGTTTCCCCATTTAACAAGAAGCTCCCTTGCTTCTTCCCTGGGAGTTTCCCAACGATGGATCCCTGAAAGCCAGCTTTATGCTCCGACCGGGGACGTGCTGCTGTGGGGCCGGCAGGGATCAGAGGGACACAGGGGCCCTTCTGCACGCCCCTGACAAAGGCTGCCCCGGGGGGACAGAGCGTCAAAGCTCAGCCGGCTCAGGGTGGGGGACAAGGGACCCACAGAGGAGGCTGTGGCCCGAGCCCGCTGTCCATCTGGTCACTCAATCGCGGTGGGCAGCGACCCGGCAATGCTCGGGGAGGGCCAGAGGGGTCCTTCTGGTTCGTCCCCCCAGAGAGGGGGCAGGGGGAGCGGCCGGGAAGGGACAGGTAGGTTTTGTTGGCTGCAGGTAACCGGATCCGAGGCCGTTGGTGCCTTCCTGCCCTCTCCTCTGGCTTTGGCGGGGGGTGAGAGATGGGAGGTGGG